CAAAAAATACAAAAAATCATAATCAACCTTATGTTAAATAAAGAATACTAAACAAAGTTTCTGTAGACCCCTTTAATTTAATCAAGAAAAGTTACTTTCAATGTGAAATCTATAGCCTAAAGTAAAACTACTTTACAAGGTTCAAATGTAGATAAGAGATTTAATTAGTGGTTAACAAAAATTTTAAACAGCTGGATCAATAAATTTAAAAATATTATCTGAACAAGATATATCTTTTTAATAATTATATTATGTCCTCGTCCCCACGCGGTTTTAAAAACAGCATTTTTCTCCAATGAAGGCATGAACAATATTAATTTATTATTTGGATTTGGTATGATTTATTTAAAAATGATGATAGTATATTAAATCGAATAAAGAAGAACTGTAAAATATTACAATACAATTTGTTGAATTTTTATAATTTTATAAGTTGCTATTGTAAGCATTATTATATCGAGAGTTTTTCGTTATTCGATTGAAGAACGTTACGACATTTGATTTGTAAATAAGCTTTTGTACTTTAGTCGAGACTTTAATATAATTAATAATAGACAGATGGCAAACAACTGCAAGTTGTTAATAATGTGAAAAATTTAGGTGTTATATTGGATTCCGATTTAAGATTTGAGAGGCACATAAAAAGATGATTACAACATGTTTACCGTAATCTAAAAAGCCTTACGCGCAAAGTATTGTCTTCATTAGAGAGTTTTAGCATACATCCGCTAACCATCCACTAACGTTACCTTACCCCTTTAAATATTTATGAAAATGTCACAATCTAAGTTAGCGGAGATCTTACGTACATTTGCTAAAACTCTATTAATTCAGATGCTTTATATAGACAGTCAGATAGTGACCGATTTAGGTGCCCCATTTTCGCATACAAGCCTCGAAGGGGGTTGAAACGTACATCGAAGTTGAGTAGAAAAAAAGAAAATTTACGAATTGCTCTTGGGGATAACACATGGAAAATTCGATTTTCCTTATCAGAAAAATTTTTCGACCCCAAAATGCACTTATACATTCGGGTCATTAAGGAAAATATGTTTTTCGGACTAGTGACGATGTACGTTTTCATACATTCGATGGGTTTGTGTAAAAAAATCGGGCAAAAAATAACCTTTCATTTTTGTTAGGAAAAATCGAATTTTCCATGTGTTATCCCCAGAAGCCAGTAGTAAATTTTCTTTTATTCTACTTAAAATTGATGTACTTTTCAATCCTCTTCGTGGCTTGTATGCGAAAATGGGGCACCTAAACATGTCACTATCTGACGGTCTAATAGGGTATACGTCATATTACAAATGAAAAGTTTAAAAGGTTCCGAATTCATGCTTATGGTTAATCTATGCATTGCTGTAATTAGCATTTTATGCATACTGTGCTAGCTTCTATAATTGCGTCCTTTAAAAAGCCACCGCTGAGCCATGTCTGCTCCTCTACAGGGTCTGCGTCCTGTGCCTGGACACCGCTGGCAACGCCCTAGTTACGGTACTGAATCTATGGAATTCGAAGATGATAAAGACCGTTCCCAAAACTGCTTGAAATAGGCTGGATAAATATGAAAAATAGGTTACGTCACTATATAATAAGATTATTTCTAAAAAAAAATCTGTCATATCGATGGTTTTCGAGAAAAGTTACATAATTAAAAAATGTATGTTTTGTAAAAAATTACTTTTAAGATTGGGTCAACAGATCATTGATTTTTTGATCGTGAATTAGAATAATGTCTAATTTTAATAGTTTTTGGAAAGTACTAAGAATATAAAGAAGAAAACAATTATTTTTTTTTGATCAATTTTTATTACAAAATAAAAAAATTCTTGTCTCTTCTTAAATATGTAATATGTATAATAATATATAAATCGTACATTTGAATCGACAAGTTGACAGTACCTTTAAATAAACAACTACCAATTCTTTGGTTGCAAAATTAAAAAAAAAATTTAAATAAACATCCTTTCTTAAATTACTTTTCTTACAAATCTTAAAAGTATTGGTTATAGAAAATTTACAGATTTTGGTAGAAATGGGATCAATGATATTATTCTCTATCAGTATTATTAAACCTTCCTTAGGCCGATTGTAACTCAGATAATATTCGATAATTCGCTACTACGGGTAGACGTACGTACTACTTTCCGTTACATTAACTATTATTTTAAGAAAACTGACACAAATGGAGAGTTAACACTTAATAGACCGTCAGATAGTGACAGGTTTAGGTACCCCAATTTCTCATAAAAGCCTCGAAGAGACTAAAGGTATTTGTTGCCCATGTTTTCACGCAAGCCGTGTCCACTAAATTATTAACTAATAAAACTAGGTTTCGGAAAACCAAGGACTTTAAACTTACATCGTCACTTGTACGAAAAATATATTGGCTTGAATGACCCGAATGGATTTGGGGGTCGGAAAATATGTCTGTTAAGGAAAATCGATTTTCCATGAGTTATCCCCAAGAGCCACTCGTAAAATTCCATTCATTTTACTGAACATCGATGTACTTTTCAACCCTTTTCGAGACTTGTATTCGAAAATGCGGAACCTATATCGGTCCCTATCTGGCGGTCTATAAGCCGTTCGATAATTTAACTAATATTTAAAGAAAACTGATATAAACAAAATCACTATATCGAATAAAATAACCAGTTATTTGACACTTACCGTACTGTTAAAAATATGACATTTTTTTTGATAAATTAATCGTGCGTAATTCCAAAATTTTTCGAGATGTGTCGTTTTTCGTAAAATAAGTCGATTCTTCCTCAAGCATGTTAACAGCACTACCGAGTAGCGACGGTTTTCTAGATAGGCGTCCAAAAAAATTATTTGGCATTTTTTTAAACTTTAAGCAATGCTTGAAGCCGTAATCAGGCCATCACCACTGCTCGGAATTTGGAATACCTTTCGCAGCATCCAGCGACCCGGCTCTCTTGGCAATGCTTTAAAATTCACTTATAACGCTTTTTCAGATAATAATATATTGTAATAGTTGGTATAGTTACTCAAATGTTTTTTTTTATAATTTATTTTATTTTTTTTATTAATATTTCCTGTTGAGGGCCTTTATTATATTTATATCAACTATAATCAATCAAATTAGTTAATGACCATGTTGGAGTTTTATCAGAATTATACTCATTAGACATATAACCTTTTTTTTTTTTAGATAAATAACAAGATAGAGAGACTCTTTATTCCAGAGGTGTCGGTTCAATCAATACTTGTTACAAAATTTCGTACTCTATTTTTGTTTTTAATTTGTAACACAAATCAAAATAAATTTCTTAGGAAAAAAAAGAAATAATTTATTTTAAATAACCTTTTTTTTAATAAAGAAACTTTGCACAAAATGATCAATAAATATTAACAACAAACCTTTATGGTAAATATCCCTGTAAATATAAATAAAAACTACTATATGACATTATATCCAATGTGTATTGTTGGTTGTCTAACTTTGCCTATCCAATGCAATGAGAAGAATAATTTAAAAAAACGTATAAACAGATTACTCACATACTTTGATTACTATACGGTGCAAGAGAGAGGTCCGACATGCAAAACATAGGGCGCGGCCATTTTGATTCCTATGCCACAGTTTATAGCTAAAGAATCAGATCACTCACTCTGCGTCGGCACTTTTGATCTCAATGTTCCAGTTTATACACTGCGCAACTCGGATAATACAATATCTGACAACCGCCTATAATAAAACAGCAGTCTTCTGCGTATCCTGAATTTGTATCTCTGAAGTGGATGTTATTTTGGAACTTTCAACTGGTCCGAGTGAGCTAACTGATTCTTTAGCAATAAACTGTGACTCCAAAAATAATATTCACTGATACTGACAGCAGCAAGCAAAATATCAGGTGCGTATTAATCATCCGCTTCTGCTTTCGGAATTGTCGGTTTAGTCGTTTTAACCTGTCAGATTAAAACAAGAAAACCGACAATTCCGAAGCAGAAGCGGATGATTAAAACGCACCTATTAAAAATAAATAAAAATTAAAAAATTCAACGTCCTAATACTACTATCGGCTTTCGGTCTTTCGTTCCAAGTTAAATAATTTCTCGTTTTCGTTACGCTACGAGTTCACCCTTGTAGGCCTCAGTCTCGATAAGGTGGGAACCACCATTTTAGCCTCTTTCGAATTTTTAATATATTTCTGCTAATAGAATAGATTTTTGCAGTATAAATAGACTTAATATGTTAAATGGGAGCAGTTCAAATTTAACTTTTTTTTATTACATCTGACAATATTTCAGCCAACCAGCAATTATATACTTAACTAAATTTAAAATAAATTTATTTACAGAATTTTTTTTCATACTATTTTTTGCTTGTTAAATTTTACCAAAGGTTGTACGAGTCACATTTTGATGTACCTTGTATTTTATGAAAATATTTATTATCGTTAATGAAAAAGAGAATAACAAAATATTGTAGTTTTCTAAGGGTTGTAAAAGTAAATAAAGAATTGAAAACGTCATTGAAAGGGTATTGTAATGTCACTGAAAAAAGGTTGTGATTATATCTTTTTATTATTTCAAATTAGTGGTAATTCTATAAAGAATACATTAAATATTTAAAGCAATTCTATAAATTCATGTACAATTTTAACTTCTAACAATTATTTACATATTAGAAAAATATGGCAAATTTCTTTAATGTCAACTACTAATAGTGACAACTTAATAAGAGGCAAATAAAGTCCGTGCTAAAATAAAACTTTGGCATTAATATTTTATACAAAATTACTCTGGAGTTTAGTTAATTACAGGATAGTTCGAAAATATATGACGTGTTTTTTTGAAAAATTATTTCTTTATGATAGCGTTGAAAATAAAAACAACTGTCATTACAACGTAAATATATAGTTTAAGTAATTACTTCTTGCAAATGCATCATATTTTATAGAGCATAAGTCATAAATGTGTGTGAAACGTTTAAATGAAAATTGTAGAAAGAATTGTTTTATCTTTACCATCGCTATCTTCATAATCCTCATACGCTGATATCCTTTCCGATTCCACACTTTCCAAAGTCTCTTTTTCGGTGCTATTTGTGCCGTTCAAAGCATCTTGAATGTTATTTACCATTTTCCTTCTATTTCTCGGAAGAATGTCCCAAACGCTCGGCGGTTTTGACGATTTATTTTGGCCGAACAATCTCTTTTCCAAAAAGTTTTGTAAAATCTGCTTGGTTATTTGGTTTTGCCGTTGAATTTCGTGAATGTCCAGGCTATAACCTGAAACCGAGCACAAATATCAGTGTTGTGAATTTTTGTTTCAACAATATTGCAATAAACATATCCAAAATCTATCATTATTATTACTATTATTATTCATAAAAAGCAGTTTGAACAAATTTTTAAAATTATTACTTAAATTTATAATTTTACTCTTAAGTTGAAATTAAGCAAGTATTCTTTAATTTATTCGCAGCTTCCTTTTTGTACATGACGATGGACATATGAAAAAGCCAATAGTGGTAATTCTGTAATTCAATATGTTTTTATATTTGTAATTCTGTAAAAATGAAAATTAACGTATGCGATAAATTTTCAACCAAATAAATATAAGTTTAAAGTAGTTCAAATTTACAAATAAGTTTTATGTTCTGACAAATGAATGTCATTCCATATTAGGCATTCCAAACAAATGAATTACCAGTGGGCAGGTTTGGTATATCTAAGGGTGGCGACATATGGTGTATTCTATCTACTTTACGTAAAATCATGAATAATGGATTACATTTAAATATTTTATATCAAACACAATAAAAATAATATTTAAAAAACCCACCTATACATTTCTTCATAAATTGGCAGGCTTGGCGACTACTACTTCGAATAAAAATAGCGTCCAAGTTGCAAGACTATGTCGTTACCCCCTTAAATATACAAGAATTTCCCACTGGCACCTATTGTTTGACAGGTCGTTGGAATGCCTAATTGTCACCGTATATTGAAAAAATAAGTTGTCAAAAATGTTAATGATAGTACTAAAATTACTGTCTGATAGGCTATTCATTTCAGACCCCAGTAACAAACTAATAGTGTTTATTTTTTATTAAATTAAAAATTTACAATTTACTCAAGAGAATACAAAGTAATAAGTAAATGGTTTGGTTTCTTTTTATGTGGTGTGAGGGAGGCACCATCCTTTGAGAGGTCTCCGAGGTGTGCTCTAAGAGGATTTCTGGCCAGTGATGTTTTACTTTTCTGCATTCCATAGGATCAGTGTATAGGATATTGATCAGTGGATTTGTATGATTTTTATTGTTAGTTTTGTTTTTGTTAGCTAAGGTCTGGATCACTTTATTTTTGGTTAGAATGCCAAGATCATTATGTATTGCGTGGCTTTGTGTTTTAAATTTAAATGTTTGTAATATTTTGGTGTTTGATGGTTTGCTACAACCCCATAGCTCTATACTGTATGTCCAGATTGGATTCAGTATTGCTTTATATAGTAGTAGTAGTAGTTTTTTTTTGTTGGGTGGGAATCCATTACGGACACCAGGCATATGGTTCTGCCCGTACCTAATAGTGTGGAACTCCCGGCTGAAAGGTGCAGGGCCGATATACCCAATAAAACGACCCTTGAAGCGTTGTGGGTCTTCTTGGAACTACCTGCTGGCATCACTTAGTCCAAATCTATGTATATAGGCCCAAAAGGCGCCGTGTTCTGTCAGTACTTGAGGAAGAAAGTAGTTTCCTAATCATCCATGGTCTTATATGTGGCACCAATCTCTTAGTCCAGTTTGCTTTTGCGTCGTCTATTGCCCACGTCGCACGCCATTTTTCTATGATTTTATTTTGAGCGTTGGTCTTGGGTTCATTATCTTCTTCGATCATAATTCGTTCTTCCACAAGTAGATTTATCGGCGGCATCCTCGCAATTCAATGTAGCGCACTTGTAGATGTTGTCCGGTACGCACAAGTTATTCTTATAGCCGTTTTTCGTTGTACTCTCAGTAGGATATCACTATAAATTTTCTTCTCAATTGCTCTTTTCCATATGATTGCAGCGTATAGAAATATTGATTGTATCACCGAACATAATATTCTTCTGTTATTTTCTCTTGGTCCTCCCAGATTTGGCATTATATAATAATAATAATAATAATAATACTCTCCCTAATTCACCCCCTTACGAGTGAATTTTAACCCCAAAAGCTGAGCTTGTCCGGGGAAAGGGACGGCTATTATTATTATTTGCCGTGGCGCTCCGGGGCGACTTAAAGATGATTGATGGTGCCATTTGACTTACAGGTGAGGAAAACCCGGAAAACCTCACCCACCATCATCGAGACGGTAATGTATGGCGAATTTTTTTAATCTGCATGTCATATCAACAGAAATTGAATTTCTATTAATACGCCACACATCAAATCCTAAACCGAACCATGCAATTTAATTAAAAATCCACATGGTCTGGTCTGGGATTCGAAACCCAGCAGTCTCAGACTCATAAACTTGCCTATAAATGAATATAAGCGCGATAGACCGCTACACCACCGTGCCCGATTATGCGGCTGATATTTGCTAAAGCTTTCGTGGCCTTAATAGCCATCATACGGATATGTTGTCCCATCGTCACATTTCTATCAAAAATATGCCAAGGTATTTACATTTCCTGGCTTTGTAATTGAACATCTTCAACTTTCATTGAGATGGATTTCTCTTTTCTACCACTTACCAACATCACAAATTTTGTTTTGTGTGGTACGAGGCTTTTATTTTTCATTTAGCTGGTTATGATGTTGACAGCTCTATTAGCTTTCCATTCGATGTTTTTGATATTTTTCGCTATAACCAGAATTTCCAAATCATCGGCATATCCCACTAACTTTACCCCGCTAGGCATTGGAATCCTAAGCACTCCGTTGTAGTATATATTCCAGAGAGTAGGCCCTATCACTAATCCCTGTGGTACCCCGCACGTTACTTTTTCATTTCCTTGGTTTTTACTACTAACATCCTATCTTCTAGGTAATTTGCTATCATGTTGTAAATTTGGATAGCAACCCTTCTTCTTCTTAGCTCTGCTAGTATTCCTCCCTAAGGAGCAGAATTAAACGCATTTTGAACATCCACCGTTATTAACGCACAAAGTTTTCTTTCACTGTGTGGCCTTTTGTTTGCTGTGTCAGCTAGCTCTTATACTTTTTTCATGTCACTAATAGTAGATTTACCCTTTCTGAATCCATGCTGTTCAGTAGCAAGTCCTCCCGTTCTTTCTATTTCCGATTTTAGTCTGGTCAATAACAGCTGCTTCAGCACTTTTCCTAGTTCAGTACACAAATTGGTCAGTAGGCTTTTTCTAGTTGTCCCGGTTTCTCTTTTTCTAATAGCACTAACCTTGCTCTCTTCCATTGTCTTGGAAATTCCCCTTCTGAAAGTAGTATCTTCCATCAGGTCCTGCGACTTTCCCATCCTTGATTTTTAAGGCTGCTGCTAAGAGTTCGTCCTTGCTGAACGTGATGATTTCGTCGTCATTCACAGGAAGCCTCATCCATACAATCTCCGTGTTTACAGGAAACAATTTCTTGGCTATTTCCATTTGAACCTCTTCCGCTAAATTCATGGGTTCTGCGGATTTTAGTTTGTTCTGATAATCATTTCCCCATACGTTATTATCTACTTCTTCTATTAGAGTCTTCCAAGCTTTTTTCTTAGCTTCAAATATCGTTTTCTTTAGAACGGCTCTGCTTTGCCTATACTGTTCTTGATACACGATTTTTGTTCTATCGTAATCTCGTTTATTTCCCTATTCGCTTCGTGCAAAGTCATGGAAAGGGAAGCAAAAGCGATACTAGCACTAGCTGCGGATAATTCGTGCATTTTAGGGCGATATTTTGTAATTTTGGCATATCAAATTCACCTAAACATTTTACTTTTTTTAAAAAAAGGAGGTAAAAACAATACAATAGGCAACCGGAGTTGCTGTGTTGAAATTGTATAAATACTAGCAAAAAAAACAGTGAAACTTATAAAAAAATTTAGTAGCAAAGTGGAAATTAAATCAAAGAAATAAATGGATAGGTGTACAATAAGAAGAAAAATTAACTTTATTTTTGTAATAATAACAGTATTACTGGAAATAGTAGACATCAGAAACTTGAAAGGTTTTAAATAAACAATAAATTATCATTTTACGATGTTCTTTAATATCCCTTTATTCTTAAATGTTCATTCAGTAAGGACTAAATAGATTTCAAGATTTCTGCCTTTGATTATTATATGTGGCGGAATGCAATTTTGTGACTTACTGATGGGAAACCAGTTTTAATCATTCATTCTGTTTTCTTTCCAACAAAAATGAAAATATAAATTACGATCCTTTTTTTATACATTTTAACTTCACGCTATTATTAATTTTTTTTATTTTGACAGCAGAACAGGCTTATTCTTCAATGACAACTTAGGCAACTTCTCATACATTTTCCAGTAAATACTGTTGCCTGCCTATATTTTATTATTCATTTTTATTGATTATACATAATTTTCTTTAAATTAAGAGATAAAAATGTATAATAATAAATTAATGTTTTACTTGTTTTAGAAATCCATATACTTTTATTTAAACTAACATATATACTTTTTAATTACGAATTTTAGTAAAAACTGCATTTGTCAGTATACGCAGAAATAGTCCATTAGTACCAAAACGAATTGGCGCTTCTGTCGCGCACTGAGCGAATGCCATTGCTCTTTTATTCTTCAGACAGCTCTTTTTGTTCTCTGCCACATCCCCACACCACCATTATACCAGTTTCCTATAGTGTTTATATTTTTTTTTTTTTTGAAATACTATATTACGTACTGACCACGTTTTTGCCTAGTTCTTCTGCGTTAATTAATTCATCTTTGATTCTGAGTGTCTTATCCACTTCCTCGGACAGTTTATGTAGTTTCTTTCTTCACTCGCCAACCTTTTTTTATTTGTGATTGTTCCATTTTCCCCGTTGTTTGTATTTCATAGACAATGTGTTGATGATAGCTGAGAATTTTTTCCTTGAGTACTTTCCAGTTTTTTAAGTGCTTGGCAATTTGTTTCGTGCTAAAAGTAATGTCTATGTATGACTCACTTCCTTCTGAACAATTAGATCATCTTCTGCAAACCATTCCGCCAGGATTTCTCCCCTTTTATCTTCTATCTTTGAACACCACAGATATGATTTGGCATTAAAGTCCCCGCCTACCACAATTTCCTTCTTATGTTGTTTCATATCATTTCTAAGTGC